TTGTTAGGTGTTGTGTTTTATCTTGTCAAGTTTTTGGCGCCGTTGCCGGGGAACCTCTAGGTTATTGGGGAAACGTGAAAATTTGTTACTCTAGCTTTTTATTTATTGCATTTCTTTTCCTTTCCACCCTTGCTTTTCACTTGGGTGTTTTGTTTTTGTTGGTGCAGCTCTGAAACATGGATCCTCGTGACTTCTACAACCATTGGGGGTATCAACCACCATCCGTGTGGTATTACCCCGAGACTTCCTGGAGCAATCAAGGAGGAGAAGAATATGGATTCGGATGTCAGTACCAATCCCCCTACTATGGAGAACAACCAAACCCTTGGGAACCTCAAGAACAATATCCTTTTCAAGAAGAGTTCCTGCCACAACCAGCAGAGCCATGCTACACTTCACTGGAAGATCCGAACAAACAATTAAGGCTTCTCGTGGAGCAGCTTGCTCGAGACACTGAGAGAGCATGCTCCAAGATGGATCTTCAAATCCAAGCCCTTGCCTCTTCCGATCCCTCATTGCTCCATGACATGGAGCAGACTGTTCAGTGCTCAGCGAAGCAAACAGAGTGGGTGAAGCAAATTTGCTCACAGCCTGCTCAAGATCACCTTTCTGCTACTTCGCTAGAAGAGGCGGAGGATGACAAGGGCAGCGGGGGCGTTGAGGAGCCTACAGAAGTTATCACAGAGAACTTCCATGATAATCATGATCATGAAAGTCCTCTGGTGGCAGATCACACCGTTCCTCATTTTTGCTCTAACATGCTGGACCTGTGCGAGGAGATGCAAGATGATTCCCTTGAAGAAATTGCTTGGCGACTTGCTCTCCAATATGTTCCAGAAGAAGAAGAGCGAGCAAGGATGAGGAAAAAAGTTGTGGAGGATGAGGAAGAAAGTAAAGAAGAGGTAGTTCTTGATCTTTTCCAAGGGGAGAGACCACATTTTGAAGAAGGTAGGGGGGTTGTGGAAGCAATTGGCGTCCAGGCTGAGGATGAAGTTGAGGTGGAAGAGGCTTGCACCGAGCCTATGTTACACTTGATATCTCCACCAAACTTCGAGGAGCTGCTTGGCAAGGACCCATTTGCAGTGTCTCTTTGCCCAACTAAGACCACATCAACATCAATCCCTCTTGGTGGATACGATGGTGGTCAATCGAATATATCTTATCTGGTTTGGGGCAATGAGACAAGAGCATATGCGAAGGAGAGGTCTCGTGAGTGGAGACTTCATCTTCCTCAAGGTCACGAGCCGTCTTCATCACCTATCACATCACATGCTCGTGACTTGAGACTCCACCTCATTAATGAGAACCTCAACTTCAAGGATGTTTTGGGGTGGACCTAAACTTAGGAGCCACCGTCTAGCTAAGACGTAAAAGAAGCGCTTGTGGGGAGGCAACCCCACCAAGGTTTGTTTTTCTTTCGTTTGTTTTTGTCGGTTTGTCCACTTGGAACTATGGTTTCTATCACCCAGTGTGTTCTGCTGATGCTAGCCTCGCTGACTGGTCCACTTCCAGTCCCCCAGCAGTGTTCTTACTCTGTAACATCGTTCCCCTTATCTTTCCCTCTGCTCCATTGAGGGCAATGTCGTGCTTAAGTGTGGGGGGGTGCTTTGTATCGGTTGGAATATTTATTTGGGTGCTTGGAGCCTAATCCGCTGTCCGAATCTTACGATTTGAGGGCTCCAAGTACTGCTGTTTGATCATATTGGCACTGTGTTTTGATGGATGAATTGATTGGTTTTCGGATTAATGCATGACAACTTGTTTGCGAGTAGGACAACCTATGATGAGGACTGAGATGTGCAGTAGAACGATGTAGGGGTTCAGTTTTCCAACTGTTTGCTTGCCAACTGTGACTTGATCTGACTTGATCTGATTACTTGTTCTTGACAGTCGTTTATGCATCTAGTTCAGGGTATCAGAATGTGAGATAGAGCATATTGGTAGCCATGTGAGATTTGAGCCTGCTCGTTTCTTTCTTATGCGATAGATCCCTCTTCCATGATGTGTAGCATTCACGTTGTCACTAGCTAAGATGATGGGGGCATAGGATTAGCCCACGCCCAAAACTGACTGTCCTGATGTGTCATATCCCCTAGTCAGCCCCTTTGAGCCGTGTGTTATCCTTTCTTTTGGTCTATAATGGAAAAAATCACCCTTGTTGCATCTTTTAGAAGGTTCCACAGAGTGGTTTTTATATATTCTCTGCTGTTTCTGCTAAAGTCTATGTGAGTGTTGGAGGTAGTGCTTAAAAGTTGGGCAGGTGTTTAAAATTTATGCAGAAGTGGTGGCTCTCTTAGGAAATGAAAAGAAAAATGAAACAAAGAAAAAAAATTGAAAGCAAAAGAGAGCCACTACCAAAAATCTGAATAATGCCCAGTGAGCAGTGTTTCTTAGCGGTTGGGCTTGGAAATGCTGATGTTTATGCCTCCTTCGCTCTTGTGCTCTTAAGATATTGAGTAATGCAGGATAGCAGAAAGAAAATACCGGGTTGTTTGACTGTGATTGTGTGTTTGGAAAATGTGGAACCTTTTGCTATGAATACTTCCACCACCTAAAAGGCCTTTTCCCCATGTCCAAGACCCTAGCCAGTCATTTGAACCTGTGTCTAAGACCTCCTAATTAGTTAGTGGTGACACCCCATATGTGAACTCAAGCATTTAGAGGCTGCCATCATGGTGAAGAGATGATAGGTATTGAGAGAAATAGCATGCGCATCTTTCGCATCAAATTGTCCTGACCCCACTGGTCGAGAGTGAGTGATTCATTTTCATTTTCTATATGCTCTTGTACCCCGGTGAGGACCTAGATTGCTCGGTCTCTATTCTGATGTCTTGAGTTGGATGCATGAGTTGACTGTTTTGAGTAAGTGGTTGAATCAAGTCTAGGTTGGCCAGTGAACAGAAGGGAGACTCTTCCTTTACTCGATTTGCTGCACTCGAATGTCCTTTGTGGTGGTTGTCCAGGTTGTTATTGAGGTTGTGCATGTATTGATGTTTGAAAACCAGTGCGATTCACGTGTTTTGTGCCTTTATGACTTGTCCCCAATGTTGGTTGATTGAAATATGTAAGCTTACCTCGTGTCTGACTTGGTTTGCTTGGGGACAAGCAAACGGTTAAGTGTGGGGGAGTTTGATAGACTGTCATTTACACATGTTTTTACCCTCATACTTACACCGTTTAAGGTGTTGATTCTCGTGTTTTAGGCCGATTTCACGCTAGGTTGTGCTTGTTTGTGTTATTTCAGGTCCTAGTACGTGAATGAAGGCTTAGGAGCGAGTCTGGGGTCGATTGGACGAAGAACGGACGAAGGGCGAGCTTTTTGGGGAGTGCACGGGCAGACCAGGAGGCTGCACTGCCGTGCACTTGAGCCATTTGGCCGTGCGCCTCACGCCGAGGCCATGCACGGGCAGGCTTGAAGCTTGCACGGCCGTGCGCCTGGCCGTGCAAGGTGGATGAAGGCCGAATAATTGATACGGTGCGTTTTGAGGGTGCACGGCCAGAATTGTGTAGTGCACGGCCGTGCACCTGGCCGTGCAACTCGGGAAAGCCGGTTTTAATGCCTAATCCGAGCCAAAAGTGGGAGAATGGTTTTTTGAGAGCAAAAACAGAGCCCTAGAGAGAGAAAGTGCGAAGAACACATCCTAGAAGCTGTCTTAGAGCTGGATTTCATCGAATCGAGCTTGGAGATCGTCATAGGAGTGAAAATCATCGTCCCGGAGCAGATTATCCTCATCGTTATGAGTATGACTAATCCGATTCTTGTTTTCTCTTCTCTCTCTATGGAGTAGAACCCTTCTCTCACTTGGGTATGAAGAACCCTAGTTCCTTGTGTTAAGGATTTGATTGTAATAACTTGGGATGATACTACTGTTTGATTTTAATCGAATGACGCATGTTTCATGAATTGATTTGAGTCTGATCAGCTTTTCTCAATTTCTGCTGCAACCTGAGATAGATAGAATCTGATTAGGTTGTTAGAGCCTCTTCATTCGATAGTAGGAGGTTGGCTATACGAGAGTTAGCCAGTTTACTGCTTTGTACTGGTGTTCTTGGCGCCAGTAGTGGAGTTCTGTGTTCATAGCCTCAGCTTTCTATCCCGGTGAAGACTAGTCGTCTGCCGGGTAGTTAGACTGAGAGGGCTTGGTCAGCTTAAGAGATTCCAAGCTACTGTCGGATCTTCCGCAGTCTAATCAACAGTAAATCAACCCAGGGAATTGCAATTGAACCTAACTAAGGGGCTAGGGGGACTCAATCCCGAGTGACTCTTACCTGCTTTTGAAAACCGAACCATTTCCTGCTTTCTTACTGCTTTTACTTTTCACAACAATCACTCGAACTAGTTTGCTAGATAATAGAGAATCACGGAGTAAGCAGTAGATCTAGACCCCGGGTTGATAATTAAACTTGCCTATACTGCAGTCCCTTTCATTGGTTACACTTGGCCATTGTTAAGTGTTGTGTTTTAGCTTGTCACCACCCGCATCATCCACCATTCGCCCGACCAAACCCGAGACTAAATGTGGGTGGATGGTGGGTTAAAAATAATCAATCCATTCAAACGGAGGTGGGTGCGTTTATGGTCAAAATCCGTCCGACCCACCCAATACCTATCCCTACTATACTTTAATAGAATCACCATGTTGATTAACGACGAAACTCAACAAGCGCCAATTTAGCATCTCATAACCGAGTTGTGACAAATTTAGTTCCCGTGATGTAGTCATACTAACAACCACAACCGAAGATCGATTCTGGTAGCGCGATAGAGAAAAGAGAATGGGCCATTTCTCGTCTTCTTTCAAACAATCGCCTGAGCAACAACGGGAACGAAATAGAGAACAAGATTTCTTTTAATTACACAAAGAAAACCTGTCCAACGTTCAACAGGCTCTCATGGGGGACATTAAAAATCACGCTATGCTCTCTACATATCTTCCTCAGGAAAGCGTATATGTAATTCACTGCAATCTTCTTGTAGAACCTCGAATCCCTCCTCGATCTCACCACCGTGTTCCCCAAGATATGTACAACCCAGCGTCCCGACAGCTCTGCAAGAACTCCACCTCGTCCACTTCCGTCTGGCTGCTCGTCTGGCCCGACGACCCCACAGTCGTCGTCACTGAAGGCTTCACCGGCATGATCGAGTCGATGGAAGACATCGTCGAATCCACCACCGACCCTATCGTGTTCCCATTCTCGTTCAGCAGTCCATCCCTCGAGTGTTGCGTTTGCTGTCCGTACAAGCTGTACTCATCGGAGTCCGAGCACCCGTCCATCATGGACTCGAGCCGGACAAAGAGGAAGAGACTGTCAAACAGCTTCTTCTCAAATTCTTCTTCTTTATTATGAAGGTCCTTGTAGCCATACCTGGCCACACACCTAAACATTCTGAATTTCTTAGAGCCGATCCTCTTGACCAGAAACCGCTCTTCTTCAGAGACCGTGTCGACAGGGAGATACTTGACGCAGACGAAAACCACAACGGAGTGGATGGCAGGAAGATTAGTGATGAAATGCGAGAAGATGTGGGGGATACCACTGGCGAGTTCGGTGTAGACCAGGCCGATCCCTGGGACCCTCACCAAGCCCAAACTGGGGCCAAGCCCTATGATCCACGCCATCGAGACCTTACTGTGCATTTCAAACTCGTACCGTTTGAGTGTGCCATAATGCCGGACGTGCATGACGATGAGGAAGGCACCCGCGATGACAAGTAGGTGCATTCCACCGCAAGGGATAAGCCGGTGAAGAGCACAACAAGGATCCAGTGGCAGTGCCACACAAGGATCATTATCAGGACCATCAGGAGGGTGGTCACCAGCATGCCTATTACCACCGCCGTCCCTGTTGAATAATGAAAGCCAAAAGTGAAATAAAGGAGTGAAATTGAGTGAAAGGTGAGGTTTTTGTATCATAAACTATCAATTCAATGTGATGAACTGACCATAAGCATTTCCGATTTGGCTTTGGTTCTTAAATCCTGCGGTGACACAGATGCACAGAATCATAAGGATCCAATTGATATCGGGGACGTATATCTGTCCTAGGAATTTCTTGGATGTATGCACAACTTTCACTCTTGGGAAGCAGCCGTGAGCATGTGCCAGCTTGATTATCGAGAACGTTGCAGAGATTGTGGCTTGGCTTGCAACCACAGCAGCTGCAGTAGCAATAAGAAAACAGGCCAGTATATGCTCTCTGCACAGCCACATAAGTTGTTTCGTGTTAACAGTAAGAAGATTGCATTCAGAGGATAACATGGCTTAATGCGTGGGATGATAGATGAAGCATTGGACAAACCTGGGATAGAGCAGTAAAATGCATCGACCACATGTTCCTTGTTTTTGACAAGATAAGCAGCTTGGCCAGAATATGCAAGAAGAAGGCAAGGGAAAACTACTGCTGTGAAAGCAAGTCGAATGGCCGAAACAGGGAAATGGGCTAGATCAGCAAAAAGTGCCTCAGTGCCTGCAATTGTTCATGAATCAGAATCAGAATCAGAATCAGGATATGAGGTCTAACTACATATATGCTTAAACAACTCAGTCGCACCTGATAAGATAAACTAGAAGTTCAGGTAATTTGGAAAATGGTGAGAGACAATATTACCTGTAATACTAAGCATGATCCCTCCAAGGGACATAAACCCGTCTCTACCTCCCCTTTTAAGGTATCGATAAACATATACAGGTGAAAAGGCTTTAAGAACACTTGCATCATATTTGCATATGTTGTATATGCCAATACCGCCAATTAACAGAAACCAAAGCAAGACGATTGGAGCGAAGAGCCAGCCAACTTTATCGGTCCCAAAATGTTGCATGCTGAAGAGACATACTAATATTATAACAGCAACCACTATGACAACGTCTGCAACAAGAAATGGGAATAACAAGCTGTCGACGATGAACGGATTTCGGACAAGAATCCATAAGTGGGTCGCTCATAGAATGTGAATGCATATGCCAATGTTTGTTCACTTAGGAGAAGTTCAATACCCCCCACTAATTCCTGGCTTGTTCACCTTGATCCCGCCAGCAGCAGAAAGAACTGCAAGACATTGAGCAACCCGAATGTTATATAGGTATTTTTACCCTGGTAGAAACGTTGCAAAGATATTACGCATGTTACTTCTATTAGCATATTCAAAATGAAACTTGGGTGATGCAATAGCCACGCTGAAATAGGCCCATGAAGAATTTGAATGAGGTGAGAGAGACATAGACAACCTCATAATGAGAAGCTGGGAAAGGGAATTCAAAATTCAACAAACAAGGTGGATGCGTACGTTACCTATGAAGCAAATGTTCATTGAAATGACTAGACAGACACGAGAAACAAATTAATGATTTTTTCTAGACACCAGCACCTTTGTTATAGTCAACATAAAACAATTAAGTACGCCTTTTCAACTGCATTTCCTTATCCCTTTTACCACATACATGGACTCTGCACTACTTTCCGAGATATGAAACTAACTAGATGCACCAAAGCGCATTACACAGATACAACCAACCACAGAAGCAGACGAACTGAAAGTAGACACTTGGAACAAAGGAGAATCTTCGTTCAGGATATCATTTGAGATAGCTGATTACAATGCAGCGAAATAGGACATGAAAATGATCATATAAGAGGGCGAGAAGTTACCAGAAATAGCAGGAGTCAAAATTCCATCGCCAATCACCATACAGGTGCCAACAAGAACAAGAATAAGAAGGCCAGTCTTCCGAAATGCTTGGTTCTCTAACCATCGCTTAGTTTTAGCAGCAAAAGATTGTTCATGGAAAGTAGAGCGACTATATGTTGTCAGATCCTCATCCGTCCGGTGTTGATTTGGGATCGTATTTACTTTTGCATGTCGACAAAGTAATGAGTACAGCGCCAATGTACCACCTGCACGAATGTGGAGAAATTTAGAGTCCTCTCCAACTCCAGGGAATGTAACTTAAGAAGTTGTTCTACAAAATGAAGAATAGAGCAAAGAACATGTAAGATGCAAAGCCGGATTTACCTTGACCATTGTCATTTGCTTTGCACACAATGAACACATACTTGAGGAGAGGGACCAGAGTAAGAGAGTATATTATCAAGGAAAGAGCTCCAATTACATCCTCTGGATCATAGATTCCCTTGGGGAAAGTATTGTAGAACACATACAATGGAGATGTGCCTAAGTCTCCATAAACAACTCCAAGACTTTGGAATGCTAGCCGAAGAAGCAGAATTGCTAAGAATTTCTGCAGTAGGATATGGGATCAGAATCATAGCAGAAACATTTATCAATCATCTTGAATCATAACCAAAAATTCCAAAAAGCGACGACCTTATCTAAGGGTTGACCCTCAACCAGTAAATTAACCCGCCATAACTAGGGAAATAGTATTTAATTGATAAGAAAGTTTGGACGACGAAAAACAAAGGTAGTTGGCGTGCAAATTCAAGCCAACAAAGCTCCATCATCATGAGGTAAACGAGGGAACAGTATCTTTGATTTTCAGAAAAGTGGAGACACGGTACAGGGGAAATCATGCATGGATCGTACCTTTTCTCTGTATATAGTTTTGAGCTTTCCAGCTTCTTCATCCATGGGTTGATCAAGCTTCTGCTCCGAATCCCACATGCTGCCTCTGTATGACTCGCTGTCGTCATTGATATCCAGTCTACCTTCCATCTCCATGCTCTACTCCGTAGGGAATTGGAGAACCAACAAAAAAGCTATGTATCTAGAGACTAAAACCAGCCGCTAAGAACACCCAATAGTAGGGAAACCCACTCCCTATGGAAAAGCTTGCCAAGGAACTTATTCATGAACTCAGAACTTCTATACTGTCAAAACCAAATCCGAAGCAGAAGCAGGAAAGTTTAGATGTGGTTAGGGGAAGGAGAAACAGTACCGCTCCTAAGAGCCAGAAGCGATTCAAAGCTTGAAAGGTCGCAGATTGAAGAGTGTACAAAGACAACAAGCTGGCAGAGGGAGCAGAGGCAGGGAATTGAGAGGATAGAATAGACCCCAAACCCAGCTCAATCAAACGACATGAGAATTTCCCACACATTAATTTCGCAGCGTCATCATCGCAACAGTATAGGGGTCGTTTGGAGAATATGACTTTAAATCTACAAATTGTTAACAATCTAACAATTCTAACTCTCCAGATTCTTGAAAACTGATTGTAAAATGTTTATTGTTTGGTAACTGTGATTGTTAACATTCAATTAAAATAAACAATTTAATTTATATTAAATGAAATGTTTATCCTTGATAAAAAAATTAGAGTGATTCAATAAATATTAAAATTTTTGTTGATAAATATATTTCATGTGATAAATAAATAAGACTAAGAGAAAAACTAGGAGAAAAAAAATCCCACGAATCAAGATATAGAATCTCTCTGATTATGAGAGATTTGATATCCGCAGATTTTAGAGATTTGAAATCTCTGAACCTCGAATCCATAGTACAAAAAGCAGCAAAAAAACATAACTTTCTACAAAATCTACGGATTCAGTGAATCCACGTCCTAAAACCTGTTCTCCAAACGACCCCATAATTCTTCCGCCGCAGTGGGGTCAATTCACTCTCCAGCCACATGAATCAGAAAGAACAACCAAGCAGCTACGCCCTTCCCTCCTCCTTCATACAGGTAAACAAGAAAAGAATTTTTCAGGTAAGAGAAGAAGATTCAACTTTCCTTCTCTCCGTCACATGCCCATCTACCAGAAAGCTGAGATTAGCAAAACCCAATTCCGAAGAATTTCTTCGTTGGATGGATTGAAGCAACCAGCAGAGGGGAAGTGAAGGAAGAGTAATAAAAAGCGAAACTAGGAAGAAGGAAAAAATTCGTCTGTTTGTAATTTGTGTTTTTGTTACTAGAGGGGAGAAAACATGAGGGAGGCTGAATCTCCCCTTTTGTAATGTTAGGCGGACAAAAATGGCCGCCGATATGTGAAGATGGTGGGCGGAAAGGAAAGCAGTGCTACTGCTAGTATCATATAATCAGGAGCATACTGTGAATGTTACTTATTTCATTACCATTTATTTCGTAAATAAAACACGCTTGTCGAATTGTAAGAGAAATTTTACAATGCTATATAGTATTGGTGTTATAGGTTTTTGCTTTTATGGTACAACTTAAAGTTGTACCTTGAACGTTATGGTACAACTTAAAATTGTACCTATACTCTTTGTAAAAATTATTTTATGGTACAACTTGAACTTGTAACTTTATGTGATGATACAACTTTAAGTTATAAAGTTGTACCATAACATAAGGGTACAAATTCCTTTATGGTGAAACTTAAACTTATACATTTAATGTTATGGTACAACTTAAAGTTATACATTAAAGCACCAATACTTTATAGCATAGTAGAAGTGCTGAGAATTGTAATTGTAAACAAACTTGCTCTGTTTCTTTGGCAAGTTCCTTTCCTTTTTTTTCTTTTCTTTTCTTTTCTTTTCTCCATTTTGTTTTTTCCTTAACAGTGGGGTTTCTTGTGTGTGGCCAAGTTCAGAAAAAGAAAATACAACCAATAAAAGAAAAATATGATGGTTCATAGTCACATTAAATTGAATCATTGTGATTCGATATTGAATATCACAAATTCACAATGAATGTTCATCAGCAAGGTTAAATTTTATGATGAATCCCAACAAGTAATAATCCAACCAGTAAAGATAAGAAACTATGTGGGGAAAAAAAGTACCAACCTAGCAATTTCGATTTTTTTTAATTTAAAATAAAATCGGTTAAGTACAACAATTTTTAGTTTTTTTCTATTGGTTCGGCCAAATACTATTCTAAGACATCATTGAGATCGACACACGTGCTTTCCATAGTGATTATTTGTGAGTACTCGTCTCAAACTGCTAACGGGATTACGATTCCTCGATATCAAAACCAATCATTTAGGACTTGACGATTTTGGTTATATCATATATGAGAAGTGACATTTATGGTCTCTAGTTTCTAAAGGCTCCATTAATTGAATAGAACTGTTTTACCAACCATAGTTGAGTTGGGAGTCTGTTTTCATTCATCAAATATTTTCGTTCATCAAATGATCGCGTAGCTTTTGCATATTCATTCTTAAATGGTCTCTAATTAGTAATAAGTGTTAATAGCCACATTCAGACTCCTATTGCTAATCGCATAGTGTTTGATCTTTCTTTGTGTAGGATTGCTCTACCTCATTCCGTAAGCCTTTTCTTGTTGTTTCCTCTCATTTATAGTTCCTTCATGTAATGGTCTTCTCTTCATCTTTCTTTGATTTTGAAGATTCTTTCCTACGATCACCTTCTTACAAATATGGGAAGTAATAATATAGTTTTAACTTTTGCAGAAAAGGAAAGTTTTTCCCAACAATCCCCTTTCTTTTCTCTTCTGCAATTTTATGTCTTTTGTTTGAGAGTATCAAGGCTCCCCCTCAACCATTTATCTCCCTTATATTGGAGTTTGTCGATTGCCAGACTACTCAATACCATAGTGAAAAGACTAGAGCAACCATTAGAAAAAATAAAATAATATTAAAGCTAGTTGTGCATGCTTAAACCAATAAAGCAAGCAAATAGTTCAAAAATGTATGAACCAAGCAAAAACACATAGTTTTAGTAGTTTAAACCCAACAAGTCTTAAAAGAAAGCAAAGCTGTCTCTCGTCACTAAGTCATTAAACCATCAATCAGAGTGATCCTCATAATCATAGGGTCCATACATAGGGCTACAAATGAGCTGAGTCGAGTTTTGCCTAGTTTGAGCTCAGCTCGTTAATAAACGAGTTGAGCTCGAGTTCGGCTCGAGTCGAGTCGAGTTTGAGCTAGCTTGCTTAATAAAATTTTGACTCGTATTTGATATACATTTTGAATGTTATACATGATACATGTGATTAATGTCAAGATGAAAATAATAATAATAATAATAATAATAATAACAATAATAATAATAGTTAAGTGTTCAATATTAACTAATCTCATGTTATACTTTGTGGTATCAAATTATTTAGTTGATAAATTTTAACTAGTGAAAATTATGTTATTTCATTGTGTCGAAGCAATTTATGATACATAATTTCTTTTTAAGATTAGGTAAGACATATTTTCTCACATCATCTACGTGTTAAAATTCATATAGGGTGAGATATATAATTTAACAATCCTATGAATTATCAAAATCAAACTCATATAGATCGATTTGCTCATAATTAGGTAATCGAGTTGGTTGTCTAGCCACAATGTTGAGAGTTGAGACATCTCATGAGCTCTAAACGAGCCAGCTCACGAGTTGAGCTCAACAAGCCACCGAGTCTAGCTAGCTCGCGAGCTGCAAAAGACTAAGCTCAAGTTCGGCTCATTAGTAAACAAGCTGAGTTTCGAATGAGCTTTTTCCGAGTCGAGTGTCGAGCCGCTCGCGAGCAGCTCGGCTCATTTGTAGCCCTATGCGATGAGTCTAGATCGCTCCAATCCGCCATGGAGGTTGGTTCACTGAGCTATGGAGAACCTAGAGCACTTATTCCTACCAGAGCGGCTGGCTCACTGAAGTCTGAATTTGAGTCGCTCATGTTAGCTACGGAGGTTGGCTTATTGTCTTCTGACTCACTATCGCTACTTAGCCAGAATACTTCAGCTTCAGGATCACCTTCTGCAGGAGGAGGGTGTTACGAGCACAGAATCGGTGGACATAGTTATCAAAGTCGCACAACCAAGAATACGGTTTAGGATCAAGGATAAAACGGAATTGAAGTGAAATCTCACACTTGGGAGAAGGCTCTATCAATATAGGGTAGAAGCTCGACCACGATCAAGGGTATACTTGTTTGATACAAAGCACAATCCAAAAGCCGGAGCTCAATGAAAAAGAATAAACTCAATAATCTTCAATATCTACAAATTCCTCTTAAAACTCGAGTTTAAGCCATTTATACAGGCTAGAGAAACAAAAACCCAAAAAGGAAAATAATCCTGAACATAAAAGGTAATTCCAACTCGTTAGCCCCCATCCCCTGTCACCCTCCTTCAGATCCCCGATTAGAAATTAACATCCGCCTGGCCGGTGGGTCTCCTGTTCTTATTCCCCAGTCGCCATCGTGTGATCTTGGTCGAGGAATTGGGTCCCTTCTAACCGGGGTCCTTCCATCTTCATCTTATGCCTTCTCTCTTGTTTACTTTAATGAAATCATTAAATTGTGATCTCAGTGGGATTGCATCAGCCCCTCCCTATTAAAGAAGCTTTGCCCTCAAAGTTTGAGTAAAACACAATGCACCATACTCCCATTTGAACTAAAGCAATCCACAAAACTTTCGATCCAAACAAGCTTCCCAACTGGCTTCCAAACGCTGCATAATCATCATCAAGAAAGAACAGACAACCTACACAATCCCATGGAATCAATAGCTCATACAGCTCGACAAACAAGTGCTCAATCCATGAACTTCGAAGCTCAAGTCGTCAGTCCTTCCTTTGAAACCTCCATTCGGGTTCACTGTCTTCTCGTCTCTTCTTTGTGTACAAGAAAATAAAATCATCCATAGACAAATGAAGGTTACGTTCCTTCGCACTGTAGCTCGAATCAAAGCCGTCATTCAACTTGCAAAACTGAACATCGACGTCGAAATTATCGGGTTCTGCAGAATTGACAAGATCAATTCCCATTCCTCCATGATTGATACAGTAGGTTTGTATTG